CGTGCGAAGCACATACCATACCTACGGATATTGATTGCCAACTGATTAAGCGCGGATTGCATGGCTTGAACATTCTCGCACAGTAAGACAATATCATCCGCATATTCAAGGTCGAGAAGTCTTTCTCCAGGCAACAGATCCACTCCACCATTACTTAACTCCGTCAGAGCTGTTTCCAGAATGTCATCGATGGCAAAGTTGAAGAGGAATGGTGAGATTGGGCAACCCTGCCTAACTCCACTGCTCGAATGGAACAATGGAGAAAGGTGGTTGTATGCCCTCACTCTGTCTGAGGTGTTTGTGTATAGGGCTTTTAGGATGTTAATAAACTTCTCAGGCACACCCTTCTTCAATAGACAATCCCAGAGAACAGTTCTGTCCAACGAATCGAAGGCAGCCCTGATATCAAGAAGCAGGCCAGTTGAGCTGCCCTTCAAAGAATTCTGCCCATCGTCAAAGACGTGGATGGATATTAGTGAATGGCGTTCCATCATCCTCGCAGATTGTTTCGCTCACACCGGACTTCTTGCTGCCAGTGACTCGGATGAGTTGGAAGAGCTTCCGGTAATTACCAGATGCAGCTGCGGCTTCCAGCTCATTAGCACGCTCCGACCACCAGGCTTCTCGGTCTTTACGCCAGCTTTGCCCGATTTCATTACGTAACATCCTTCGTCTGTGGTCAAACTCACGGTCACCCGGAGTAGACCGACGGGCTTCAATCAGTTGTAAGGAACCAGAAGAAACCCAGTGTTTGTAAGCGGGACGTTGCGCGAACCCACAACAGACTGTACCCACCATTTTCATGGCGTCATGCAACTGCAACCAATGCCCATCTATACTTTTCGGTGGAATGGTAGCTAGCCTAGAAGCTAGCTCGGTTCGGTACTTACTAGCATCAGAAGTTGCAGCCAGCTTGCTAACATCAATCCTTTGGTGGCGGTCACTTCGTTGTCCACTGAAAAGCAAGGTAAGATTGGCGCAGACCAGAGCATGATCACATTCCAGATAGGTACTCGAAAAGGAGCGGCAGTCTTGTACACAACCACGCCAGCGGTAGCTGATCGCGATGTGATCAATCTGAGTCCAGGCTTGAGATGCAGAAGGAGGACGCCAGGTGGCACATCGGCGATGACTGTGCCGAAAGTTAGTGCTAGCCAGAAACAGGTTGTGGTCTGTGCATAGTTGCAGTAGACGTTCCCCGTTATCTGTCCTGCGACCAACAAGTCCCCATTGGCCACCTAAAAGATAGGATTCAAATTACTTGTTAAACGATATTTGCCAGGTATTCGCCAGTTGAATACCATCTTTTCGGTTCAGGCTGTTATTATTCGCCGAAATATACAGCGCTTCTGCTGTCAATCTTTCTTTATTTGTGTTAAAACCTTTCTGAAGTATTTTGGCCCTTTTAAAATTGATCTTGTGTCCTGTTTCTAACGCATGTAACGCTATCGCCGACTTATTCTCTAGCTTCTTCAAATCAACCGAGGATTTGGGAACATTTTTCAAACATTGTTTGTGTTTCTTCAACCTTACATTAAATTTTCTGGATGTTCCTCCAACTTAGGCAGCATTACAGTCATGACAGTTGATCTCATACACAACATTCTGTTCTTCCTTTGGTAACCTGTCCTTGACTTTCACTAATGTCGATCTTAAGGTGTTAGTCGCCCTAAAATACACTCGTATATCATGTTTGTTAAGGAATTCTACCCCTGCCTTTACATCCTCATCGGATACTCATTGTTCGTCGATGGTACTTCCCAGATATGCGAAAGCTCCCAACTCTTCCAGATCTCCATCGAGTGTGATTGGGTTGGTGTTCTCTATGTTATATTTGAGGATCTTGGATTTTCCTTGTGTGTGTTGAGGTTCACTGATGCTTCACTGACTGTTTTGACCTGCATTTGTTGATGTGTATGGAACAGGAGCTCTAGGTTATCTGTGAAGTCCAAATCGTCTAGGTGCATCCAGGCCGTTTACTGTATCCCGTGCTTCCTCTAAGAAGCATAGGTCTTCATAATCCAGTCAACCACCAGAAGAAAGAGGAAGGGGGGTGTAGACGGCCTTGTCTGACTCCCGTCATTACTTGAAATGCGTCTCTCAGCTGTCCTCCATGCACGAATTTGCAGTGTAGTCCATCGCGTGAATTACGGATAATGTTGACGATTTTCTCAGGTACACCGTAGCGTCAAGAAGGTTCCATAATATTCTCCAATCCACACTGTCAAATGCTTTCTCATAATCAAGGAAATTGATGTATAGTGACGAGTTCCATTTAACTTATTGTTCAACGATGATCTGTAGTGTTGCGATTTGGTCTGTACATGATCGATCCTTACGGAATCCATCCTGTTGATCTCGAGGTTGGGCGTCTACTGTGTCTTTGATCCAGTCCAGCAACACTGTTGAAGACTTTCCCTGATACTGACAGTAGTGTGACTCCTCTGTAGTCTTCACATTTGCTCAGATCGCCTTTCTTTGCAATCTTGATGAGGTGTCCTTCTTTCCAGCCCGTCGGCATTTGTTTCTCCTCCCAAATCTTCTTGAATAGAAGGTGAAGCATGTTTGTAGTTACTTCGATGTCTGACTCCAGTGCTTCAGCTGGTATACTGTCGGGTCCTGCTGCTTTCCCGCTCTTGATTCGTCTGATGGCCATCCTGATTTCTTCGGTCGTTGGTGGAGCGACATCTTTAGAAAGGTCTGTGGTTGCTGCTTCGATGTCCGGTGGATTCACTGGTGCCGGCTTATTCAGGAGATCCTCAAAGTACTCTACCCATCTGTTCCTCTGTTCTTGAATTTCAGTGATTGGCCTGTCTTCTTTGTCCTTGACAGATCTTTCTGGCTTACTATATTTCCCTGCTGGTTTCTTCGTTGTATCGTAAAGCTGTTTCATATTCCCTTCTCTTGCAGCTTTCTCCGCCGTCGTTGCTAGTTCTTCCACGTATTTCTGCTTGCCGGCTCTAATGCTCTTCTCCACTTGCTTGTTTGCTTTTATGTACTCAGCTTGTGTTTGGACTTTCGCTGCTCGTGTTCGGCTGTTGTTAATTGCTGTCTTCTTCTTCCTTTCTTTGATCCTGTCCAGTGTTTCTATAGAGATCCATTCCTTGTGATGATGTTTCTTGAAGCCCAGAACCTCTCGACACGTTGAAGTTAATGCTTCTTTGATACCTTTCCAGTTGTCCTACATAGTAGTTTCTTCTTCCTTCAGTAGATCTTGTGAGGCTTGGAACCTGTTATTGAGAGTTATCTTGAATTCATTGAGTTTGTTAGTATCCCATAGGAAAGCTTTATTGAACCTTTTTAATGCTGTTCTCCCAGTTGCTCAGTGTTTCTTTAGCTTCAGTTTTAAATTGGCCACAACCAGGTGGTTATCTGAAGCTATGTCAGCTCCTCACGTGGTCTTCACGTCTTCGATTGTGAATTTTTTACTGATGCAAATACGATCTATCTGGTTCTCTGTGGTGTGGTCCGGTGAGATCCATGTAGCTTTGTGTATACGTTTGTGTGAGAATATTGTGCTACCTATGACCACTTCGTTGAATGCACATAGATTTGCAAATCTGTCACCATTCTTGTTTCTCTCCCAATCCATGTCGTCTCATGATATTTTCACATCCGGTGTTGTCCATTCCAACTATGGCGTTTGGATCTCCTATCAGAATGGTGAGGTTCTTTCTTGGGCACTTCGCCATGATCGATTGCAGCCTCTCATAGAATTGATCTTTAACGTCGTCGTTTCTATCGTTGGTGGGTGCGTATCATTGGATAACATTCATTGTGCTCCCCTCCTTTGTTTCGAATGATGCTTTGATGATTTTGAATCGTGAGATTCCCATCCTACAAGCGCATTTCGTGCTTCTTTGGACAGCAACATCTCCCGTACCCAACCTTTTCTGCAGGCGGAGTTATAATAAAAAGAAGATGAATCTACATCTAATATTGTTACTTAATATTTATCTAATAGGAATATATGTAATAATAATCCATAAATAATTCCTATCAGTTACCACTCATTTATTCTTCGTTAGGATGTAACACCAACCCTCCTCCTTTATCCATGCTTGAGGTGGGGTGTAGGCGGAGTGGCGAGATTATAATTTGTGGACGAACCAATTAGATTTACGATAACAGGTCTTGAATTTTGGCGCAAAATCAATTCATTCATTTGGCTAGATAGAGTTCTGTCATTATAGCTGATATCAGTTCGTGATGAAAACCTTATATCTGATTCCTAACCCTAACTATCAACTGTAAATATCAATGTTAATTCCTCACATTGTTTTATAACCATCATCTAGTCGTAGTGTGTAGGCTGACATTCTTAAGGTCTCTTTAGCGTCGCTCGAAGGTCGTCCATAAATTATAGTCTTTTCAAAATGATCAAGGGAACTATGTGTATGAAATTATAGTCTCATCAGCGGAGTTTTTGAATCTTTATGGTCCTAGTTATGTATTTGTGATAGATAATTCTGAATCTCGTCTGGACACTGAAGAAAAATATAGTAAATGACTGGATTATTAAGTCCAGCTTATTACGTAGCTATTATAGGCCGATTGTAATAAAGTAGATTTGTGTATAACCTATATTCGACTCTTTCCAATTAAATGCCTACTAATTTATTAGATAAATTAACCGACAGGAAGTGTCATTGAAATCTCTCCACAAGAGTGCCTGAATTTGTAAATGCACTTTCAGGTGGCGAAATCGGGTCATCATGTAAACAACTTTTGTTGACCGACTAAAAATTCTTGGATAACAGATCCTTTATACAACTCAAGTAATTTAATTTTCAGAGGCTATACCTTCATTAATTGTATTTGTGATATTAGGAATAACATGCAACTTCATTCTTAAAGAGTAAATCAATTTGAATTCCCAACTCAGTTAAACGGCTATAGCCTTTTTTATGTTTACAAATCGTATGACACTTATACGTGTCGCTGGAGTTCGGTACTTAGAAAATCCTAAACTTCTACTTGTATTGTTTATCGATTAACAGGTAATACATGATCTGTATTTATCGAATTCATACAACAATATATTATGAAATACCGTTAAAAATTAAGTCATTCAGGTAAATCGCAACAGTTATTTTACAGTCTATTTTACTTATTACGTTTATACAACGTATGAGATGCTCAAATCTATGTTGTCATTATTGTATTATCTCTTCTTGAAACTTAAAATAATATTTCAATGAAATTTCAGTCTTCATTCTGTTTTTAGAGTTCTCTGTCAAAAGTAACACAAATAACAGTCTCCCTAAATTCGTAATGCAAGAAATTGTTTTCAATTGATCTGTGGAATAATACTGGTTTATTTTGTGGAGTTAACAATTATGTTATCGCATAATTCGAATCACGAAAAAACACCTATATGTGAAAATTTTCCTAGCAATACAACCGATGACTTCATTAAACCTTCTCTACCTCCGTTTATTTCAAACATTTTAGACCAGTTAACCGATGCAGAACTTAAACGTCGTTTAGAATCTGTCTTGTTAGACAGAGAATCGGAACTATTAGGATCACAGTCAGCCTGTAAGGATGCACAAAATGAGGCCGTTGAGTCACGGAAACAGTTAGTCAAACTTGAACTAGAATTGGCAAATATTAAAAGCGCCGCAGAAATGTTAATAACTGAACATGAGGATGCCTTATTAACCTTGAAAAGACAGTACGATGAAGAGTTGTCCTCTCTGCTGATAGCTTCTGAACAGGTGAATTTTATTGTTATCATTTTTGGTTAGAGAGTTATGCGTGACTGTGTTAATTTGTCAGTATGGAATCATCTGTTAACATTGTTGACTTATTTACATCCTGTAGTAGACTTCTTGTGATATGCATTAATTTTATCTCATCCACTCAACATGAGTAGTGTGATTTGAGTAAAAAAACCCATTTATAACACCATACATGGAGTTCGCCTTTTAGTCTTGAAGAGAGCAAGAATAAAGATTTGAGCCGAATAACATGAATTCATTTTATTTAGTGGACTACTTGCAACCTATAATATTTTAAAATCAACATTAACATAGTTTACATACTGATAGTAATGAACCGGCATGGTGAATTTACGGTTAGAATAAAGGTAATAAGATTAGAAAAATAAACAGTGCTGCAAACAAATTCAATAATTTAGAGAAGATTCTAGAACACAGAAGAATTACACAATCAAATAACTTATACCTTTATTTTAATCTTCATTCCATCATAATGATACATATTCACACATAACCGATTTCACTGTACTAAGTATGTCAACTCATGATAATTTTAAGATATCATAGGTTGTAAGTAGCTGACTGTATAAAATAAATTCACATTGTCTTGCCCAAATCTTTATTCTTGCTCTCTTCATTGTATAATTCATTGGTCTGTTAAATGGTTTTGAACTGTTAGTTTTTGGACAACCGATATTTTGTGATCTGAGGCAAATGTACAAGAAGAGTAATTGTTTTCAGGTAAAAGTTATGGGAAACTAAGTATTCAATCACTAATCAAAATGGTTGATATATACACACAAGTGGTGTTCGTCAGGGCTATCCACTCTCTCCATTCTTGTTTAACTTTGTCGTTCACGTGCTTTTAGAGATGACACTTTCCTCATCTAAGTTTCCAGGGGTTGAACTTTTACCGGGAGATTCACTTGTTGACTTAGTATATACCGATGACATAGTCCTATTTGGTGAAGATGCTGACAAAATGCACAGTCTACTGACCACTATCAGCAACAATGCAAGCATATTCGGGATGGGATTCTCCCCCTCAAAATGCAAAATGTTGCTTCAGGATTGGGTTGCATCGACACCCAAACTAGTGATAGGGGATGAAGTAGTTGAGCGTGTCTACCGCCTCACTTATCTTGGAAGTCTCATCAGCCCTTGTGGTCTGGTGTGTGACGAAATCTCAGCACGCATACAGAACGCTCGACTAGGTTTTGCCAACTTGCATCGTTTATGGCGTAGGCGAGATATCTGTCTATCAATCAAAGGACGTGTTTAATGAGCAGCCGCTCATTCCGTCCTACTTTATGGCAGTGAAATGTGGCCGGTAAGAGTAGAGGATATTTGTACGTTACAAGTATTCGACCATAGGTGTCTTCGAAACATTGCTCGTATATCCTGGGACCACCGAGTAAGTAATGCAATTGTTAAGAAACGGGCACTAGGTAAGGATGGCAAATCAATTGATGAAGTAGTGAAACTTGATCGGTTGAGATGGCTGGGATATGTGTTACGTATGCCCAACAACCGACTGCCGCGACGAGCGATGTTTTATGGTGTAGGAGTAGGTTGGAAGAAAGCTAGGGGCGGCCAGACCAAAACATGGCACAAATCCATGAAGTCACTGACAAGTGGACTGAGTCATGTTGGCAGGTGTAGACTACCTGGTTGGGGTCCGCGAGACGATAACAACCGATGGTTAGAGACCTTGAATGACATGGCTCAAAATCGTTTGCAATGGCGCAGGTGCATCCACTCTTTGTGTTCTCTTAAACTCTAATTTTCTGAATTCTTCATGTCCTTTATTTTCTTTCCCAATTTATTCCACTGGATTATACTCCTTTAATAACATCATCAAACCTTCATGTCCCCTATCTCTACTTATACTTTCAGTACCTCTACCACTATGGGATTTGATTCGATAACTGAATCTCTGTGCTAATGTGGTATGGCAACTCGAACTGATGCACGTACGTACGAAGTTCTACGTTGTTACTGACTGACTGACACTCAGAAACAGCCTATGAAATTTATGTAATATTTATAACCATCTTGATAGCATTTCTTTAGTTTCTGGTTCGTCGTACTGTGCAGATCGTACAAAAACATGACAAACTTACTGTCGAGGCGCAGGTCAGGTTTTAGATAATCACTTTTCCTACCTTCAAATGCTTGAACATTCGTATATATTTTAGGCCAATAATCATTGTACTTTATGATATCATTGTGGCACCTATTTCCTTGGATGGGACTTGACTCTGAGATTATCTGTTGAATAGTGGTTTGTTTGAGTTTATAAAATTGTTCATCACTCGTTTCACAAGAGTGATAGTATACAACCACCTTTCTTCATTGTTCAAGTACAACATTGATATTACATAGGGTTACTTAGTTTTAGACTTTGTCTTGAATTTTCCCGTTGACAGGATTCTGGAGACAGCTCTGTGGGAATTATGTGGTAGTAGTGGTGTAGAGTAATGTATAGAGAAACTTGTTTGGTTATAAAGTTTCCGGCCAACAGTTCTACTATACGGTAATTCCAACTATATGAGGTTCAAATGAATTTTATCCTTAATGAACCCATCCAGTTATCGTTGTGTCTAGAAGTTTACTTTCACTGTGTAAGTCATCGTGTGACCTAGCAACATGTGTTTATTTATTTGAACACATAAATATTGGTACAGGGGGGCACCAAATATATATGCGCCACACAAAACAATGAGAATTTAAGAAGGGGGAAAAAGATAAGGAACATAGGGAATTATAAAAAAAGAGAACAATAATGGGGGAGACGAAAAGGTACACTCAGAAGAAATCTTACAGATAAGGAAGATACAACCACTTTTTATGAAGAAAGTAAAAGAAGGTTACAGCAAGATCGCCACTGGCTTCTATTCTGAGCCATATCTGATAACGTCTCTAGCCACTGCGTTACACCGTCTCTCGGACCCCAGCCAGGGAGTCGTGAAGGACCAACAGAAGCCGGCCCTTTGCAGCTTTCTTTCATACCACGAAGCCATGTCATACACTGAACACCTCTCCGCTTTTTCCAACCAGTCCCAGAGTCGGCAAATCATGCACGACGAGGAATTCTCTGGGACGACATTCGTAGAACATGTCCAAGCCACCGAAGTCGGTGTTTCAAGATGGTGACACCAATTGCATTATCGTCTCTGTGCCCGAACACACGATGCCGAACCTCTACATTACTGACATGGTGTTGCCACTGGATGCCAGCAATCCTTCGGAGACAGCGATGATCGAACACAGAGAGACGTCTAACATCCTCAACTCGGAGAGGCCAGGTTTCACAAACATAGAGCAAAACTGCTCTCACCGACGCGTTGTAGATCCGACTTTTTACAGCCAAACTAACATCACGAAGGCTCCAGATAGGTACTCGAAAAGGAGCGGCAGTCTTGTACACAACCACGCCAGCGGTAGCTGATCGCGATTTGATCAATCTGAGTCCAGGCTTGAGATGCAGAAGGAGGACGCCAGGTGGCACATCGGCGATGACTGTGCCGAAAGTTAGTGCTAGCCAGAAACAGGTTGTGGTCTGTGCATATTTGCAGTAGACGTTCCCCGTTATCTATCCTCCGACCAACAGTCAGTCAGTCAGCTGCAACGTAGGACCAGGCACGTATATGCATCGGTCCAAGTTACCATACCGCATTAGCACAACAAGATGAACACCGGATTCATAGAAGTAGTTAATTCAGTGGTGGTAATATATAGAAGAAAGAGTGTGTATAAGGAGATAGTACAGGAAGATAGAATTAGTTCGTAGAAAGAAAGATTTGAAGTGATTTTAATCTCTTAGTTTAAAGGAAGACAGAGAGTGTATACACCGACGCCATTGTGATCAATTCTGAGCCATGTCACCAAGAGTCTCCAACCATTGGTTACGATAGTCACGCGGACCCCAACCAGGAAGTCTGAATCTCCCAACATGGCCCAGACCAGAAGTTAGTGACTTCAAGCACTGATGCCACGTTTTGGTTTGGCCGCCCCTAACTTTCTTCCAATTATCCCCTGCACTAGTCAGCATTGCGCGTCGTGGTAATCGGTGTTCAGGCATACGCAACACGTGGCTCAACCATCTCAGTCGATGAAGATTCATAACCTCATCAACTGATTTACCATCATTCCCTAATACCCTGTGTCCAGCCTCATTATTACTTACTCGGTGATCCCAGCAATATTTCTAAGGCATCTGTGGTCAAATACTAGTAACTTACGAATATCTTCTACTCTTAAAGGCCAAGTTCCGCAGCCGTATAGTAGAACGGAACGAACTGCCGCGCAATATACTCGTCCCTTAATTGATAGACGGATATCTCGCCTTCGCCATAGATGACGTAAGTTGGCGAAAGCCAAACGAGCTTTTCGAATCCGTGCTGAGATTTCGTCAGACACCAACCCATTAGGGCTGATCAGACTTCCAAGATAAGTGAAGTTGTCGACGCGTTCAACTACTTCACCCCCTATCCTTAGTTCAGGTGTTGATGCAGACCAGTCCTGAATCAACAACTTGCATTTGGAGGGAGAGAAGCGCATTCCAAACATTCTAGCATTGTTGCTCAGTGCTACCAAAAGACTGTGCATTTCATCAGCGTCTTCACCAAACAGGACTATGTCATCTGCGTATTCTAAGTCAATAAGTGGACCTCCTGGTAGGAGATCAATACCTGAGAATTCAGTCGATGAGAGCGTTATTTCCATCAGTAGATCTATGATGAAGTTAAACAAAAATGGAGAAAGTGGACAGCCTTGGCGGACGCCACTTGAGGTTGCGAAAGCAGATGACAGTTCGCCACAAGCTCACACTCGACTAGTAGTGTTCGAGTAAAGAGCTTTCACAAGGTTTATGTACTTCTGAGGTACGCCTTTCAATGACAGACACTGCCACAGAACCTCTCGGTCAACAGAGTCAAACGCTGCTTTTAAGTCAAGGAATACCACCATTGTCGGACGCCGATAAGTATGCCTGT